TTTTTTTTTTTTGTTATTTTCTGTACATTTTTAAGGATATTTTTGTGTATTATTTTTATTTTTTTCTGGGGGCTTTTTTATTTATTGAATATTTTTAATATTATTTGTGTATTTTTCAAATATTGCTTGGAATTTTCAAAAGATTTTTGTGTGCATTTGTATATTTTGGGGGTATTTTAAAAAAATTGGGTGAATTTTAAAATATTCTTGTGTATTTAAAAATATTTTTTAAATATTTTGGGGGTATTTTTTGTGTGATTTTTATTTCTGGGGTATTTTGGGGTGAAACGTTAGGAATTGGATGAATGGGTTTGAGAGATACCTTGGGATTATTTGGTGTCCCTTAAGGGACTTTTCCCATTCCCAAAGCTGGTTTTTCCCCTGGAATTCCCAATTTTTTCCCTCGGGGTCACTCTATGTTACAGGAGGGTCACTTCACCCTTTGATATTTTAGGATCCCCCCAAAACTTGGGGAGTTTTTTGCCCCCTAAATGCCTGAAATTCAGGATTTTCATCCAACTCCAAACCCTAAAAATTTCCTTTTTTTCTCCTGTCTGAAGCGAGGAAGAGGTGAAAAAAACTCCTGGATTTTGGATCCTTTGATGGCGAATTCTCCCATCCCCCCATCCCAAAAAATCCCTATTTGGGGTGGCACCGAGCCAGGGCCCCAAAAGCCACGGGGACAAAGACGCCCCTGTGTCCCAGAACCGGAAAAATCCCAAAAAATAAATAAATCCAGGGGGAAAAAAAATTTAAAAACCACCAAAAACACCCAAAATCCCAAAAAACCCCCAACCTTAAAAGAGATTTTTGATGAGGGCTGGGCTAAGGGTCCCAGGGTTTGAAGGGAGATCAGGTTCGGGGATTTTTTTTTTTGATTTTTGGGCATTGTTTTGGGGTGTGGGTTTTTTTTTTTTTTGCTTTTGGGCAAAACCAGAAAAAGAAGCCCAGCAGGGCTGTGGGTTAATTAATTAATTAATGAGGGCTCAAGCCTGTGGGGGATTAATGGGGTCGGGGTTGTTAGGAGGAATTAGGATCAGGAGGCTCCTGGAGTGTGAGGACCCTGCCCCAGCTTAGGGTTAAAAATGGCCCCCAATTACCCCAAGTCACCCCAAAATTGGGGTTTGGGGGGAGCAGCCCTGACCCGGAGGGTTTGGGGTGAAAAATAACCCCAAATTACCCCAAAATTACCTTTAAAGTTTCTCCAAAATGACCCCAAAATAGGGGTTTGGACGGTTAAAGGACCCTGCTTGGGGTTTGGGATTAAAAATGCCCCAAAATTACCCAAATATGACCCCAAAATGACCAAATAGGGGTTTGAGGGGTGGTGTTGGGGGGGTAGCTCAGACCTGGCTGGTGTTTTGGGGTAAAAAATGACCTAAAATGACCCAAAGTGACCCAAAATTGAGGGCTTTGAGGGGCAGCTATGAACTCTGGGGTCTCCCAGCTCAGAATTTGGAGTCCCAGCCCTGAATTATGGAGAATCTTTCTCAGACTTTGGGGCATTTTTCCTGCATTTGTGTCTGATTGGTTTTGGGGGCATCTTTTTGTGGTTGGGGCATTTTCCCTAGATTTTGGGGCATTTCCTGGGATTTTGGGTCATTTTCCCGCATTTCAGGGTGCCTTGCCCAGGCAGCATGGGGGGGAATGGGGGCTCCATGTCCCAGACTTTTTTGGGATCCTGGGATTCCCGGGAAAGATGAGCTCTGCCAGGCCCAACCACGGCCCTACAAAGGGAGCTTTTATCCAAATCCCGGCTTTTTCTGGGAATTTTTGTAAAAATAGCAGTGGATCCAGCGGGGGGGTGGGCAGGCGAGTGAAAGGACCTTTGTCACCTGGATGGGGGGGAGGGAATTCCAGGTGGGATTTGAGGGGGCTCCCGGGGAATTTGGGGTAATTTTCTGATGGATTTTGGGGAATCTACATCAGATTTGGGGCATCTTGCATGGATTTTGGGGCATTCCCTCTGATTGTGGGTCATTTTCCCTGAGTTTTGAAAGATTTTCCCTGGATTACGGGGAATTTTTCCCAAGTTTTGGGGCACCTTCTCTGATTTCTTCAGCTGAGGAGGAACCCCAAACCCTTTTCCAGAGATTCCCACTGTGAACAGGAATGGAGACAGATAAATAAATGTACAACTGCATCTGAACGTCACCTAGCACATGAGGAGTTGGCAAAAAAAAAAATTAAATTTATCGCACATTTATAAACTCATAATTAAAATGTGTTCTTATCTAGCACAAAAAGCAGGAAAATTCCTCAATTCCAGTTTTTTTTTTTTCAGATCTTTAATTTCAATAAAAGATAAAAAAAGTAGGAAATGAATCTGGTATAAAACATGGGAGGGAATTTGGGATCCAAAGGGACACGAAGGGATGGGAAAAACCAGGAAAAGAGGCTCCAAAAATTTGGGAATTTGGTACAAAACTTCATCTCCCAGCTCGGGAAAAATAGAAAAAATTCCCAGCTCCTGCAGGAGAGGGAAAATACAAAAACTTGGGATTTTCCCCCACTCTTCTTATTAAAAATCATCTTTTCCACCAGGAAGAGCAAATCCAGAGGCTTGGGAAGGACCAAAACATTTGGGAATAAATTAATCCAGGGAAAGGGGTGGGCAAAGCTCCCCAAATAAATCCTGGCATTGTTTGGGAAAAATGGAAGGAATTCCAGGATTTTGGGGTTTTTCCCATGGCTCTGCAGTTCCTGCAATTTGGGAGGATTTCTTCATGGAAAACATGGGAAAAGCAACTGGAAAAAGCAACAGGAGCTGCTGGGATGAAGCAGCCTGAAAGGGAAAGGAAAATTCCCAAAAATTCACCAAAAATCCCAGATTTTGCTCAGGTTTTGGGATTTTTCCCTTGGAAAAGCAAAGTTTGGGTGTAAAGCCAGAGGAATTCTGGCATTCCAAAGCTTAATCCTGGAAAAATCACCCTAAAGTGAGAATTTGGGAAGAAAAAACAGGATTTAAGCAGGAATTATTCCCAGGGATTCCAATCCAAGTTTTCCTGTGGATAAAATACACAAACTTTAGGAATGAGGTGGAAAAAATGGGAATGATCCCCAAAAATTCCCTCCAGAACCAAACCTTTCCCCTGCTTTTCCCAAATCCAGATTTTCCCAACACAAATCCACGGAGGCTCCTCCCTTTTCCCGAAAATCCAGCTCCAAAATTCCCAAATTTCCCCATCCCAGCAGATGGAAAAGCGGGAAAATCCATCCTGGAATCACAAAAAAGAGGGAAAGAAACTTCAAAAAATTCCCAGCTGTGCTTCCAAACTTTTCTATTCCCCCAAATCTGGGGGGGTTTTGGGAGGAGCAGGACCCGGAGTTCCTTGGCTGCGTCCCCAGGAGAATCCTGGGATTCTTCTGATCCAAATCTTTGGAATTTCAGAATTTTTCTGGCATCAGAGGAGCTTCCTGTGCAGGATTTCCCAGGCCATCCTCTTCCTGAAGTAGGGCATGTGTTGCTTTGGGAATTTTGGGGGAGAAAACAGGAAAAAATGGGAATTTTGGTCAGGTTTGCTCATCCAGGGGCAGATTCAGGCTTTTTTTCCCCCATGGAAAATAATGGAAAAGGGGGAAATTTGGGGCTTTGGGGTTGTGGGAATGGGGGGAAAAAATGGGAATTTCTGGGGATTCAGGCAAAAAATGGGGGAATTTATCCCAGATTTTGCTGGGATTTTGGCGAGTTTGGGGTTTTCCTGGCCCTGGGGTTCTGGGACCTGAGGGAATTTCGGAGTGCTGGGATCTGGAAATGCTGGAGGAGGGAAGTGGGATATTCCTGGAGGTTGGGAATTACCCAGGAATTCCTTGGAATTTTGGGGAGGAATGGGGAATTTGTCTCAGATTTTGGGGGGAATATTTGGGATTTTCCCTGGCACTGGGGCTTGGGAGCTTTTTCCAGGGACTTGGGGACAATTCCATGGAAGGGGGGAGGGTGGCTAGGAATGGGAAATTGGGTGGGGATTCCTTGGATCGGATGAGGAATACTGGAATTTCCCCCAAATTCCGCTGGAATTTTGGGATTTTTCCTGGCCCTGGCGGTTTGCAGGATGGGATTTGTGGAATTTATTTCATTTGCAGCCCCTGGGGTACCTGGGTGAAGTTGATGGGTTTGTCCTTGGAGATGCACTCGGCATAGCGGCAGGCGAACATCCCGCAGTCGCTGCCGTTCATCTGCTGCGGGATCTCCTGGGGACAAAACAGCAATCGACATTCCCAAATTCCCGCATCCCCCCCGTCCCTCAGCCCCCAAGCACCCAAGGCCAGGAAAAGCCCCAAAATCCCAGTGAAATCTGGAGGAAGGTCCCAGAATTCCGGAATGTTTTGCATTCCCACCTTGCCCAAATCCCACCCAAACCCTTCCCCTGTGGAAAATTTCCTCTTCCAAGGTTTGGGATTTGTTCCCTCCTTTTCTTCCCTGAGGGAAAAGGGGCCCAAAAAGGGCTGGGAATCCAAGGAAATGCTGAATTCTTTGGGAATCCTGGGCTGTCCAAACCTGGCTCTTCTTGCTCAGCAGGGCCCATCCGTTGGTGTCAAATTCCTTCCTTTTCTTATCCAAACTTTCCTGTTTCAGGTACTGCCTGTGGGAAAAGGATCAGGAAAAGCTGGAATTCATGGGAAAATGGCAATTCTGAGGTTCTGCTCTGTCTGGCTGTTCCCTAAGGGATTCAGGGTTGGGATTCACAAATCAATTACCCCCAAAAATCTAAAATTGGATCAGGAGAGGCTGAAATCCCATGGGAAGAAACAGGGAGAGAATTCCAGGGAAGAGAAGGAATTTTTCATGTCCTAGCAGAGGAGAATGAGCCTTAAAAAGGGAGCAAAAATGACCCTAAAGGAGCCTCCAAAAAATGACCCTAAAGGGACCTAAGAATGACCCTCAAAAGGCTCAAAAATGACCCCCAAAAAGCCCCAAAATGGGTAAAGTTGATGTTTCAAAGGCTGGGGAAGCAGGAGTGGGATTTTGCCAGGGAAGGGATTTTACTCACAGCAGGATCCTGCAGGCCTCACTGTTGATCCCTCCCATGGAATCGTAGTAGGTGATGGTTTTTTTCCTGAAATCCACGACCTGCACAGAGAAAAATTCCTTAAAATGGGAAAAAAAATCAGGAATGCTTTTCTTGCAAAAACAATGTAGGGTACCTCACACCACAGGAGGATTTCCCCCCAGAAATCCCCGTTTCCTGCTGTGTTTTTAATCCCTGAATGTCTAAATGAGCCATTATTATTATTATTATCATCATCATCATTATCATCATCATTATCATTCCTCCCAAGGGTTTACAACAATTTTGCCCCATTTCTCAAGGCCCAGATTTAGGTGATTTTCAGTGTTTTCCCTCCCCATTCCCATGCCATTTTTGCTGGAAATTACCTCTTTTCCATGGAATTAATTAACAATTCAAGCAGGAATTAATAAATTAAGGAGGCTTTTGCTAAAGGAGCTGAAAATCCCTGCAGGATCCCAGGAGCCAAGGCAGGGGATGGGACAAAGGAAGGGGAAAAGCGAAATATCTGTGGCCTAAATCTCTTTAACAAGATCCTGTGGCACCAGTTGGTGGGAACGGGGAAATCAGATCTTCCCAAGGGAATAAATTTCCTAAAATGACCTCCAGCCTGAATTTAAGGACTAAAAACCCCACAAAAAGCTGCTCCTACCTTTGTATTTCCCTTTAAACTCAGATTTGAGACACAAACGCAATTTTTTCCTGTCTGCATCACCCAAAACCAACAAAATTTGGGCCCTAAATCCCAAACTGAAGATTTTTTGGGATAATTCAAGCACTCACAGCCAGGCACCAGTGCACTCCCAGGTGGATGGGCACCAGGAGCAGATCCACAGAGAAAATATCCACTTTTTTTGTCCATCTTTTCACAGCTTGGTACCCTGCAGTCTTTAATTTGGTGAAGAAAAAGGTGTTGAAGGCGTGGACTGCAGGCAAATCCTTGTCCTTGCTCCTCTCCATCAGCAAATTCATGTAGAAATTTATAATCTGGAGGGAAAAAAAGGGAAAACAGGGTTTTTGATTTCTTTAGTAGATTTTTATTTATTTTATTATGGTGTTTGGATTTGTGGCCCTGTGTAAAGTTAGGGAATAAACCCCCACAAAGGAGGATTTGCATTAAAACCTTCAAAAAACCCAGGTGAGTTTGCAGTAGCTCCATTGTAGTAAAACATTCCAGAGAAAACTCAAGGATTTTTAGGAATTTGCCTTTATTTAGGTCGGAATTTAAGATTTACTTACTGTTTCCCTGGTTCACACCAATCCCATCCTCCCACTATCATTAATTCCCCACATAAATTCAATTATTTTTATTTTGTGCAGCTTCCCCCATAGATTTATCAGTCCAGGGTGGAATCCCAACCCACAAACCCCCTCCCAGCACCCACCCAATCATTTTCCCCTCCCAAGCTGCTGGAAATGGGTAGGAAATGGGAACTGTTGGGCTCTCACCTCGTCGTTGAGCCAGTTGAGGTTGTTGAGGGTCTGGATGTCCTTCCTGGTGATGGTCAGGCGGAAAGCCTCGCTCAGCACCTCATCCTGGTTCCCTCCTCGGAAAAGGCTCTTGATTTCCTTCTCCATTTCCTGGGGAAAGGGAAGGTGGAATTCCTGCTTTTCCTGACCCCAAATAACCAAAGGTTTAATGCCCAATAGTCCCTTAAGCCATGAATTCACCAGGAGGAGGGTGCAGGGCTCCATCCCCGTGCCCAAACCCCAGGAGTTCCCTGAAGCTAATTCTCTGAACTGACCCCAAATCCCTAAATCCCAGGAATTCCCTGAACTGATCTACCTCAGGTGAGGTAGAATTCCTGCTTTTTCTGCCCCAAATCCCCAAGGGTTTAATACCAAACGCATTCTTGAGCCATAAATTCACTGGGAAGAGGGCACAGGGCTCCATCCCTGTCCCCAAATCCCAGAAATTCCCTGAACTGAGTTCTATCTGAGGAAGAACTTTTCCTGTCCCCAAATCCCCAGGGCTTGAACACCAAACTGATTCTTGAGCCATAAATTCACCCTGAGGAGGGCTCAGGCCCCCATCCCTGTGCCCAGAGCCCCCTGCGGGGCAGCCCCAACCTCGGTGATCTCGGGGAAGTCGTCGTCGCCCTGGCCAGGCCGGGCGCGCTCCAGCCCCTCGGGCCCCACGGCCACCGGGATCTCCTTCTCCAGGGGCACGCGCAGGTGCAGATCCACCAGGTCCTGCACCGAGCGCTCCTGCTCCTGCAGCCGCTGTGGGGGGACAGAGAGGGAAAAGGAGGGGTTGGGATTGATGAAACTGGGATAAACCTCCAGGATTATGGAATTAAACCTTTACAGAGCCACCCAGGCCTGTCCCCTGTGCCACATCTGCATTTTTTCCCCATTTCCCTGGATTCTGACTCCTTTTCCAAGCCCTGACCACCCTCCCAGTGACAAAATTTCCTGTAGTTTCCAATGTGAGACGATATTCTCTCTTTTCCTTGCTGTTTATCCCAGGATTGAGAAGAACAAAGGCCTAAAAAAAGTTGATTTTTCCTGTTTTCCAACTGTTTTTCCCCAATTGTCCCAGTCCGGGGTATTTTTCTGTGTAATTCTCACCTGGCTCTGGAGCTGCAGGGCCAGAGCTTTCTGCTCCTCTATTTGCCTCCACCTCTCTCTGGCTCGGGAATCATAGACACTGGTCCTAGAAAAAACAAAAATTTCATGGACAACTTCATTAAAAAAAAAATCAGGATTTTGGTTTTTCCACCCCAAAAATCCCAGGAAAAGCCAGCAGGGAAAAGTAACTCACAGCTCTTTGATCCATAGCTCAGCCTGGAAAAAGGGGAGGCTGAAAAGAGAGAAAAAGGAGGGTTGGAAATTACCAAAAATACTGGAATTACCCCAGAATTCCCTCCTTTCCCAAATTCTCACCCTGTCCCTCTTCATTGTCACCTCCCCGTGTCCCTAAAAATCCCCAAAACACCCCCATTTCGCACCCCTTACCTTGGAGCTGGAGTTCTGGAATCCTTGACCTTGAGCAAAATGACAGAATCTGACCCTAAAAATGGGAAAAATTCCTGGATTTCTGTCCTCCTTGATTCCTACTCCAAATATCTCCCAATCGTGAATAAATACCCCAGACTGGCCACAGAATTTAAATCCCTTTCCCAGAGTTTGGGGTTATTTGGGATTTGGTTTCATTTTTTTGGGGATTTGGGGGATTTTGGGGGGTATTTTCTTTGGGACTTTCTTGAGAAGTTTTTAGGGATTTTTTTTTTTTGGTTAATTTCAGATTTTTTGGGGGTTTTATTTGTGGTCTTGTTTTATTTGAGATTTTGGTGGTTTTGGGGTTATATTTCTGGAATTCTCAGGAATCTTTACCTTCACTCTGTGCCTCAGCTCCTGGCTCCTCCTCCCGCTGGTGCGGAGCCGCAGAATTCCGGGGCTGGAACTCCCCAGGAAACCCTGGAGAGGGGCCCAGGGGAGGATTTTGGGAATTCTGGGGTGGCTCTGGGGAATGTGGAACAGGAGCTGGAATTTTGTGAATTTCCGGTGCCTCGGGATCATCCCTGGGAGCCTCCTGGGACAGGGAGGGGCCGGAACGGGGACAGCGGGAGCTGCAAAAAAATAATCAAAACATCCAGTTAGGGAAATTCCTGGAAAAAGACTGGAAATTTGAGATTTGGGGAGAAGATTTAGGATTTTTCTGGGGGGTTAGGAGAGAGGTTTTGAAGTTGGGGTTTGGGCAGGGTCTCTGATGATTTTCAGGGATTTGCAGAGGGTTTTTTGGGATTCGAGCAGGGATTTTGAGGTTCTTTGGGATCTGGGGCAGGTTTTCAGGGATTTTTTGGGATGCTTCTGACTCACAGGTGGAAGGGCAGCAGCGGGGAGGGTTTGCAGCTGGAGAACCTCTTCCCAGTCACCATCTGCAGCAGCTGCCGGTAAATCTCCCGCTCCTCCTCCCGCACCGTCTGCAGGCAAAGAGCACAGAAAAAACTCCTCTCAAAACCCTGGAATTCACTGATCCCAGGGATTCCCCCCAAATTCAGGGATCTGATGGAATCCCACAAAGGCAATGCTGAGAAAAACTCCCAAAAAAAAGGGATTTAGGGCTGGAAAACCCCAGGAATTTGGTGTTTAACCCCAGATGTGCCCCCAGCTCTGCCGGAACACCGCAACCCCACAAACCTCTGGGATTTCTCAGGATTTCCATTCCCAGCCTTGCCGGAACACCCCAACCCCACATACCCCAGGGCTTCCCAGCCCCACAAACCCCACAAACCCCTGGGATTCCCAGCCCCGCAAACCCCCGGGATGCCCCAGGGTTTCTCCGTCACCTCCTCGGCCGCGCTCAGGAAGCGGCGCGGGGCCTTCTTGGGGCTGCGGCGGCTCCAGGAGGGGCTCGGGGCTGGCTTCAGGGGGAAGGAGGCTCCATGGAGGGCGGATTTTGCCCCAAAAGTGCTGGGGTTCCCGCTGGAAGGAGGGAAAAACACCGCAGGTTTGTTGTAAATCCTGAAAATTGGTTTAAAATCCCGAATAAAATCACAAAAGGTTGCATGGAAGGAGAAATGAAAGGGCCCAAATTCCAAATAAAGCCCCAAAAAATCCCACAAATTAAAAAAAAAACCATAATCCTCAAACCCCCCAATTAAATTGCCCAAATCCCCCTACTACAAAATCCCAAATAACATTTAAAAAAACCAAGAATCCCAATCCCCACCAAAAAAATCTCAAAAAATCCTTCCCCAAATAACCAAAATCCCAAATTAAACCCACCAAAAAATCCCCCAAAAAAGAAATTAAAACCTTCAAAAAATCCCAAAAATAAAACCCCCTCAAAAAAATCTTCTAATCACTGTCAAATCATCAAAACTCCAAAATCCCAACTAAAATCCCCCAAAAGTATCAACCAAAACCTGGAAATCTGAGATCTGCGGCACCCACCTGGAATTTTTACGGGTCTCCAGGAAGGAGCCTCGGCTACCCCTGGGCTTGGAGCTCCTCCACTGCCCGTTGGCTCCTGGGAATCTCTCAGGAATTTCTGAGGGGAAAAACACTGGGAGTTCCCAGAAAAACTCAAATTTCCCCTTCTCCAGGGGTTGTTTTTAGGGAAAACACCCCCAAAACCCAAATTCCAGAGGGAAAACTCACCTGGGGTGTAGCTGAGGGAGCAGGAGGAGTTCCCAGCAGGGCAGGAGAAGCTGCTGAGTTTGGGGAGGAAAAACTGGGAGGAAAAAAAAAATGGGGAAAATTCCAATATTTTGCTTAGAAGTGGGAAAATACCAGGAAAGAATCCAGGAAAAATACAGGGGAAAGGGAAGGGTGTTCCCAGGGCTGGTTGGGAATGGTGGCAGGACTTCACAATTCCCAAAATTCACAATTCCTAAAATTAATAATTCTCCAAGTTTACAATTCCTAAGGTTTGCAATTCCTACCCATCACAGCTCCCCAAACTCCCCAAATTCCCAACTTCTAAAGGTTACAACTCCCATATTTTGTGGAGCGAATTTATGGAGCAGCAAGAACCCAAAAACTGCTGGGAAAATCCTGAATTTCGCAGCTCTGGACCCGCGGTGGGTCCCACACTTGGGCTCCCCATTCCCGGCACATTCCAGGCGGAATTCCCACGCCGGGAACCGGGAATTCCCAAAAACGGGATTGGGATTTGACTTCTGCGGTTTCCAGGCTGCGTTTCCCCAGAGAAACCGCGGCTGGAAGTGCCCTAGGATTCCCTGGGATGGGGGAATTGTCCCGAATATTCCGAAATCCGCTTCCCGCCCAAATCCCGCGGTGGTTCCGTGAGGGAAGGAGCTGCGGCG